GTTGTGCCAGGGGAATGCCATGCAGTTTCTGTCTCTTGAAACTGTCATTTACAAGAACACTTAGTGCTGGGGTAAATTTGTCCTCAGGGAGTGGCATATTAAGTTCTAGATTCCACTGTAGGTCTTGGGTAGAAATGACTGTGATCAGAGGCACAGAGGCAGCTGCTTTCCCTGCTCTTTGAGAGGAGACAGATTTCAGAGAAGTGCAGCATAAAGAACAACCCAGAAGATATTATAAAAATGCAAGAAATAGAGTAGTTGAGTCTCTCTCTCACACACACAGAGGCAGAGACAGAGAGACACAGAGAGCTTTCAGCATGTGCTTGAGGTTAAAGATACAGTAGGTTTTTATGACCATGATGATAAAAATGTCTCACTAAGAGGCCAGAACTTCAACATCAGTGACATCAAGAAGCTATGGAGAGATAGATCCGTAGTTAAGAGTTTACTTACTGCTCTTTCTGAGAACCCGGGTTCAATGCCCAGCACCCACATGGAGGCTCACAATGGTCTGTGACTCCACTTCCAGGGAATCCAGCACCTTGTACTGGTCTGTGCAGGAACCAGGTATATATGTGGTTTGTGTACACATATGAACGTAAAACACTCCCTCACATAAACTGAAAGTAAATTAAAAAATGTACGACTGTTCATCATGCCTCATTTTCTATTTCCTAGAACATGAGAAAAATAAACTCTATTTTGAGCAGAATTACATTTTTTGACGATCTTACTGCAGAAAAATACATAAAATATGAATTTTGTCATTTTATGAGCCACAGAAGGTATGATAAGAACACTTACTCCTTTATTGCATTTGAACCAGGTATATTATAAATAAAAAATTAGTCATCTGTATAATTTAAGTTCTCTTTTTAAAATCAGTGGTAACCTATAAACTAACAAGTTGTTAATAAAGCAAGAAATTGGCGCCAATGCATTGTGGTAATATAGCAAGCTACACCACTCATTCATCTAAAAAGGAGACTTTTTTGAGATGGGGTCCTCACTATATAGTCCCAGCAATCTTGGCTAAGTAGACCAAGCTGGCCTCAAACTTGCAGTAATTCATCTTCTTGCTTTTCCTTTTTTGCCTTTGTTATCTGAAAAGCCAAGGCTTCTAATTCTTTTATTTCATTTATTTGTTCATTCACTTGTGTATGTATAAATGCTTGGGTGTGGAGGTCAGAGGACAACTTGCAGGCATTTGTTCTGCTGGTTCTGCTGGAATTGGTTCTTTCCTTCCACCGGGGGCTCAAATTAAAGCAATCAGGTTTGGTGGCAAACAGCAAACATCTTTACTCTCTGAGCCATGTCACTAGCCCTAAAAGCTAAGGTTTTTGTGAAGATTTTTTCATTCACCTTTTCCCAAGACAGGCATTGTGGGTTACACCTGTAATCCTAACACTTAGGATACTGAAGATGGAGGATGATCATGAGTTTTCAGTCAACCTGTGATGCTGGCAAAATCTTACCTTAAAAAGAAACATGGAACCAGGAGGTGGTGATGCACGCCTTTAATCCCAAAACTTGGGAGGCAGAGGCAGAACAATCTCTGGGTTCGAGGCCAGCCTGGTCTACAGAGCGAGTTTCAGGACAGCCAGGGCAATACAGAAAAACCCTGTCTCAAAAAACAAAAACAAAAACAAAAATCACCCCCTGCCCCCAAAAAATTATGGGAGAAAGAAAGGAAAAAAGAAAAAGAAAGAAAGAAGGCTTCTCATTTTCCATGCAAAATTTCCATGCCAGGAAAATGTTGAAACAAACATGATTAGAAAAAAAAAGATTTTGAACAAATTTTATTTTCTCCAACTGATCCTGTTAAGGAGTCATTAAGTCAATTGAGGGGATGATTAGGTACATGGTTAATTAGGTTTGTATTAAGGCAGATTAGGAAAATACTTTTCCTTATATATGAGACCCTGTCTCAAAAATAAATAAAAATATTCCCTATTTTCCAGATCTGGAGTAAAATCTTTTGTTTCATCCCTGTTACTGGTACTGGTAATTTTTTTTAAAATTAAATTAATATCTCTCTCTCTCTCTCTCTCTCTCTCTCTCTCTCTCTCTCTCTCTCTCTCTCTCTCTCTCTTTGTGTGTGTGTGTGTGTGTGTGTGTGTGTGTGTGTGTATGCATGCGTGCAGAGGCAAAAGGACAGCTTTGGGAGTCAGTTTTCTTCTTCCACTGTGTGGGTCCAGGGCTCAATCTCAGTTTGTCAGCTTTGGTGGCAAGGGCCTTTACACCACTGAGTCATCTTAGAGGCCCCTGATATTGGTAATTTGTTCTCTCTCTGTCTTACTCTTCTCATAGTCTTATTAGAGCTTTGATTATTTTATTGATTTTTTTTATTAAATTTTCTCTTTGACGATTTCATACATGTTTGTAATGCATTGTGGTTTCTCCCATCCTTACCTTCTCTTATGTTTTCAAAGAACTAACTCTTTTTCTGTTGCATTCGGTCACCCCAGTCATCAAGAATTCTCTAGAGCATCCACTTCTTTTGTATATGATTCTCCCCCATTGTGTTTCACATTGTGTTTCAATGGCATTATGCATTCCTTCAGGCTTTCCTGCCCTTGTCTGTGTCTTAGCAGGCACTCCATTAGTGGAATGTACTTTTCTTAGTCTTGCTTCTTATTGGTGACCACATCTTGTTGATACCTTCCATCCATGTACTAACCAGACTTGACCTTGCTTAGTTTCTGAGATCAAAGGAGATGAGGCATGTTCCACGTGTTTTGTCTGTGGTCTGTGGACCTTGCTTTTACACTTAAAAAGTGGTCTTCATTTCTTCATTTTTTTGAGACAATCTTGTTGTGTAGCTCAGTTGACCATTAGCTCCCTCGGTACCCTTAGCTAGTCTAAAAATTATTACAATCCTCCTGCCTCAGCCTCTTTAGGACTGGGATTATAAGTGTGACCCACCACAATAGGCTCAAAAATTTTATTTTTATCAAGATCAGTTTAAATAATAATTGAACAAAAATCTTAACTTCTAATTAAAATCTTTACTGAAGTCCTGCATCAGCTTCTGCCCAGTGCTATTCACCAAGCCCTTTAGTAGTTTTGTCTTTAGAAATCCTATTGATTGGGAGCAGACCCTCCTTATCAAGTCATGCTTCAGCTTTGATCTTGGTTCTGCCGTTTCCTATCTGCATGACCTTAGGCAAAGGACATTACATCCCTGGTTTCATGTTCTCTCTCTGTAAAATAAGATGACCTCCATTTATCAGGGTGTTATAAAGATAAATAGAATGTCTTTGATGTTACTTAGTTGCAAGTAAATATTAGGAATATTTTAATGCAATGAATTAAAATCAATATTATATGGGAAATATTTATGAAACTATATTGCAATCGAGTTACAAGACTACAGGAAAAGATGTGTGCGTATATGTGTGTTCACACACACACATACATAAAAAGAATGAAAGGACATAATTGTTACTCAGATTGATGCTTAACTTTGGATAATGGAAAATCATTGCAATTTATTTATGTTTCCCCGTTTTTAATTCTTAGGGTTATCCTGTAAAAGATTCATAACTTGGAAAATATTATTTAAAAAAGAAATATTCATGTGTGGTGACATACTCTTACTTGGTCATGTGTAGCTCACCATGCTTCAGAAAGGATGTAAAGCAATGTATAATATAGGAAGATAATGAAATGCAAAGCAAAATGAAGAAAAGGAGACAGTACAGACTGGAAAGATACTATGCAGTGATACTGCTAAACATTTACAGCCAGGTGTGATGATGCACACCCGGAATCCAGAAATTTGGGAGGCTGAAGCAGGAGGATCAGGAGTTCAAGGCTAGCTTGGGTTACATGGCAAAACTCTTATCTCATAAATAGAAATATGAGTGCTTTGTGTTTTATTTTAAATAGAAGACTGTCCTAGGATATCTAATGATTGTGAGTTAATGGATAAGATAAACTTTGTAAAAGGTGAAACATTTATACGATCTGAAGAGAAATCAGAGCTGACTGAGCTCGTGGGAGCTCATGGACTCTAGACCGGGCAGCTAGGGAATCTGCATGGGACTAACCTAGGCCCTCTGCATATGGGTGACAGTTTTGTAACTTGATCTGTTTGTGGGGCCCCTAGCAGTGGGACCAGGGTCTGTCCCTGGTGCATGAGCTGGCTTTTGGAGCCCATTCCCTATGGTGGGATGCCTCACTCAGCCTTGATGCAGGGGGGAGGAGCTTGGTCCTGCCTCAACTTGATATGCCATGCTTTGTTGACTCCCACTGGAGGCCTTACCATTTCTGAGGAGTGGATATGGGGGGGTGGGTAGAAAGGAGGTAGGGGGAGGGAATGGAATGGGAGGAAGGAGGGGAAACTGTGGTTGGTGTGTAAAATAAAAAAAAATAGTAATTTTTTAAAAAAGCAGATAATTGAGGTAAAATAAAAATTCTTAAAAATGAAACCAAATGTGTAATAAAAAAGATTAATTTTGTAAAAGAAGGGCAGCATTTTCTAATACAACGTAATAATATTAAAATGATATAGAAAACAGAGGAGCATTTTACAGAAGTTTTCAGTAAGTTGGAGATTCTGATTATTTTATTGTTGGCACAGTAGGCAATCCCAAGAAAGGCACGGTTGGTATTACGTTCTCTTCTCTTTGTGTGATAATTTGCCAGTGACAAATACACTTGGATTGCTTTGGTGTCACTTATCTGTTTGGAATAAATTGAGTGAAGATCCTGACTTTCACAAATAAACCCAAACTGAGAGTGCCACTCTTGCCCTGGCTCTGCCATTACTTAGCTATGTAGTAACTCTTTGGACTGTTCCTCCCTTGGAACTTGAGAAACCTTAATGAGAAGATTGAACTTTGACCTTCTGCAGTCCAGTGATACTTCCACTTACTTAGAAAGGTACATTTCCTTGATCTTTCCACTTAGAAACTTTATAGTATGCCAGTTGTCCTATGCTATCAAATGTCCACCATGAAGCTGGTATTAACATTATCTAAATGTCTTTTTCACAGAGAGACCTCTGTCCCCTAAAGCTGTCAAAGGATTTGACACTGCTCCGCTTACCAAGAATTACTACACTGTGGTGAGTGTTCAGAGGACAAAATTATTTTAATTCAACATGGAGATGTTTCACTTGTCAAACCACTGATCATTTGAGGTGACACAAAAGAAAGATGGGATAAAGTTGCTTTGTAAGGTTCCAAGGCAGTTTGCATCACAATGGTGTTCATATACTTGTGGAAGTCTTACAGATAGCTGGAGGGTTCACATCCACTATACTGACAAACTAAAGAGCTGAGCAATGCTCCAGATCAAGGCCGCCTACCAGTGGTGAAAGAGAAGATGGTAATATCTAGGCACACTGAAATTCAGTGACATGGCCTAATCATGTATTTAAAAGCAGGCAAGTCCCCAGGTCCCTAAGACGGAATGAATTTTAAGTGATTGTGTTCTATGATTTTACTGGAGAGTCAATCAACCCATAACACCCACTGGAATATTATCAATTCTATTTTTGATAAAAGCCTGAAAGGAAGACTGCCTTTTGACATAGAAGGACGAATGAAATGGCTCTGACTTGAACACAGATATGTCAAAGTATATTGGCTATAAATAGGGTATGTGTAATACTTAAAATAAGCTCCTGTTTGAAAAAAGAAATTGCATCATTCTCCTTAATCTATTCTCTACTTTCCTTCATTTCCTTTCCAGACTTGGCCTAGTCACTAATGAAAAGGTCAAGTCCTCATTACCTCTAAGTTGCCTTGTCTGGTGCCTCATGATCTGCCCAACCTCTCCTGAAATCCAGATTCAGTTTTTACCCAGTGTTCTACATGCATTCGCACTGCATGCTCATTTCATTTTGTGCATGGATAAGGAGTTTTTAATCATCTCTGTACAAGTATATGAGTGTCACTTGGCTTCCAAATTTTAATTTCACTATGCAGTGAAATACAAATGTTCCATACTGGTGATATAAACAGTAGGTGATATGAAAAATCAAGAAAAAACTCCATAGGTGCCATGGGCAACAATCAGAAAAGAGCGTTTTCTCCATGGCTTTCCTCCCGCTTCCAGTTATAAAGGCATGATTCGGCCGAGCTAACCTCCCATCTCCCTTCAGTCCTCATCAGCTCTTCCAAATGACCTTCTACTGATCTCAGCTTTAGGGAAAGGACTGAGTCCAATGGCAGTTGAAGCTGTGCCATAGCTTCTCTGTGTGCATCTGCAGCGTCCTGGCCCTCGGCTGTGCCTTTCACTATCATCTATCTGACTGCAACAGTTCAAAATGTTGAGGGGATGGGTTGAGGTAGCTCAGTGGTACAGTATTGTCTAGCATGTACAAGACAGAAACCCTTGTGATTCTCATATGCTTATATTATATGCAAACCCTTGATGGACTACAGTTTGCATAATCCATCCTCTAGTGAAAAGCATATATATATTGCTTCTAGCTTTAGTTGTTATAAACAATTCTGCAGGCAGCACCTTAGCCATAGAATTTGATAAGGATCTGCAGCGTAGATTCCTAGAAGTTCAATTTTGGGCTCAAAAGATATATTGTTTTTAAAATTTTTGATATATATTATATCAAATGTCAATTTTAATAAAGAAAAGAGGCGGTCTTGGGCAATTCATACTGGTCCAAAGGGAAAATATGTAGAGCTTTTGTGTTAGTATTACTTAATATTTTTTACTATTTATTTATTTTGTTGTTTGTTTTTTTACATTGTATCTTCTGCAGCTCAGGCTAGCCATAAACTTACTATATAGTTGAGGTTAGCCTTGAATGTCTAATCTTCCTGTCTCTGCTTTGCATGTGTTGGGACAGCAAGCATGCCCAGTTTGTTTGTTTGTTTGTTTGTTTGTTTTTGAGATAGTCTGACCTTGTTGGCCAAGCTGTCCTGGAACTCAACACACTGCCCAGACTCCTTGAATTATAATCTTCTAGCTTCTGCTTTCCAAGTGGTAGGATTACAGAATTGTATCACCATGTCTGGCTTATTATTGTTTTATTATCGAGTACAGATAAATTGTGTGTATTATAACTAGATATGGTTATAAAGAGATTCTTGTTGTTTGATTATTTTTAATCCACACTACTTTGGAGTTGAGTAGTTAGGGAAAAAATTGTGGTAATGAATTCAAAGTATGTCCCAAGTGATCTGATTATCCTTCTTATCTGTGGATATTTGAGACAAATAAAAAATACTATCCCATTCAGAAAACTTGAAAATCATTATTCCACATGAAAGATGTCCCATCTAACCTAATATCAACTCTCCCCTCTAAGCATCATTAATACAATTAATACATATTCTTTACTAGATGTAGTGTCTGAATTTTATTCCATTAAAAACAAATCACATAAATAACAATGAAGCAATATAGAAAAAGTATAAAGAAAATAAATACAACTAATTTGAAATGATTGCTACTAACACCTAACTTTTCTGAGAAATATATGTGTATATCTGCACATATTTCAATATATATTTACATATGTGTATATACATGTATATTTTAATATAAAAATAAGATCTATGTATTTTTCATTATTCTCCTTTATGGAAATTTCTCTATATACACACTCCAGCTGTATTTGTCTCTCACTAGAGCTTTTCTTAAGGTCTTTCATTCAGTGAGTCCTTGCTGTTACAAATAGCAAACTTTACTTTGGCATTGTGTATTAATCAAGTTTTCCAGAGAAACAGAGGAAGGAGAGAGGAGGAGAGGAAGAAAGGAAGGAGGGAAAGGTGTAAATAAAGAGATCGTCAACACATGAGAGAAAGAGTAAGCAAGGGATTTTAGTTTTACTTATTTTTATTTTTATTTTTTGAGACAGGGTATGACTGTGCAGCCCTGGCTGGTCTGGAACTTGATATGTAGATCAGGCTGGCCTCCTGAGTGCTAGGATTACAAACGTGCAGAACCACACTGGCTTACTTTTCTAACAGATGTTTGTTCATTGCCTTTCATTGCCCTGTCGCTGTGTGCGGCACGGGAGTGTGGGTTCACGTGGGTCCACGGAATGAAGACTCAGAGGCATCTTAAGAATGAAAATAGCCTTTCACGGCTGCACGGGGGTCCAGCCTCGAAGGACTGAAGCACTTTCCCTTCGCCTAGGGCATTTTTACTTACTCTCTATTTACAGTTTAGCCAGTTAATTTCTGTACCTTCAAAGCAACCTAAAAGGAGCTCCCAGAGACCAAATGCCAAGTGCAAATTACCTGATTTCTCAGGTACCTCGGTTTTCCTGGTTTCCTGGACCAAGTTTTGCATAGTTCTTTGGTCCTTGGGGGACTCTGATTATTGACTCTCAGACAAGATTCACATAGGGTGATAAGAGAAGCAAAAGGTAAGAGAAACAAAAGGTGTGGTTAAACAAAGGAAGGATTAGGGCTAGGTGCTACTCTCTAGAACCAGGCCAGGAGCTCAGCAGGAACGCACTACATTGCCCCTTATAACTGTATATTGTACAGGAGGAGGGGATTAAAAAGGTAAAGAACAGGAGTGGAGAAGGATTTTATGCATCTGAACTGTCAGGCTTGATGTTGTGTGGTCCCATTGGGAGTACAGGGCAGACATGATAGCATCAGCCACATAGTTGAGAACAATGCAGAACTGTAAACCATCAGAAGACAGTCAATTCAAAATGTGGCCAAGCAGTTTTTGTAGCAAAAGCACTGGGGAGTTTGTTAAAACTATAGGTATCTGGGGCCCCAAAGTGACCTGCTACAGAAATCTCTGCTCATGGAGATGGCGCTGTAGTGTTTTAATCAACTGTTCTGAGCCCATCTTCATTTCCCCCCTCAACACAAAGGTGGTTTGGGCAATCATTTAAACTACAATCTGAGGATCACTGAGGGAAAGGTTGAAGGGAGGAGGCAGGATTTAAGGCAGGTCTTAGAAGAGAGTTCGAATGGAGCTCGAAGCAGAGAGATGCTGAAAGGGAATCTAGGCGGGGCAGCTGTTGGAGGAAATGTGTCCAAGCAAGAGGGACATGGCTGCAATTAGTCAAGAGCGGCCCACACAGTGTTTCTTCCCCCATTGAAATGTCCCTCAGTAGCTCACTGAGTGAAAACGCACTGGCAAAATACGTGCCAAGAGTGACTCAAGGAAGGCTTCTTAGGCTCACAGTTGGAGGGTGCAGTCCACCATGGAGGCAGCTTCCATTTCATCTACTCAGGAACTGGAGAGAGGTGATTGGTGATGCTCTGCCCTTTCTCCCTTCTTATTCAGTCAGAGTCTCCACCTCCTGGAATGGTACCACTCACATTCAGAGCATGTCTTCCTTCCTCAGTTAAATCTCTTTGGAAATGTGCTCACAGACAAGCCCAGAAGTGTCTATAAATTGTGACTCCCAAGTGTCTATAAATTCAGTCAAGTTAACAGTGTAGATTAATAGTCATGATGCTTAAATGATATGGCTTGCAGAACTGGCATGCACTAGACAGGTGAGACAATGGCTGTAACATGGCAAACCAAAAGTCCTATGACAGCTCTTATGACCCATGCTGGGGCCTTCCACTGTCTCACCTCCTTTTCGCTGGTCTCTCTACTCCTTTACTTCCACCCTGAGTTTTCTCGGCCCTTTGGGAGCTTACCACCCCCTTTAAAATTTAACTCTCTCTCTCTCTCTCTCTCTGTGTGTGTGTGTGTGTGTGTGTGTGTATGTGTGTGTGTGTGTGTGTGTGTCTGTGTCTGTGTCTGTGTGTTTATGATGTCTGTGGGCATATGTGGAGGCCGAAGGGCAATTTTGTGGAGTCAGTTCTCTCTTTCCACTTTTTTTTTGTTTAAGAATGTCGTGCGTGCATATAATGTGTTCTGATCTACCTCTCAGTCTCTTCTCTCCAATTCCTCCCTATCTGCCCCAGCACTTCTCCCTCCCAACTTTCATGTGATCTTTTAGAAACCTAGCAAGTTCATTTACTGCTACTTGTATTCCCATGGGTATAGGACAATCTACTGAAGCATGGGTAACCTCTCAGGACCCACTACCCTGAAAGAAATGGACTCTACTTTTCCTAACAGCTAGGGGTGGGACTTCACGATCTTCTATATCATGCTGGGGTTTTATCT